TAGCTTCGACAAGTTTGGGATCCAATTTTCGTCGGCACAACTTTCATGCCTCTATCAGGTTGAATCTGTCTGAATCAGCAAAGGAATCCTCGCTGTATCACCAAGGAGCCCTGTTCGAAGTCGGCCACTGCCTGGCATGGCCCCCTTGTTTCCGTACAAACAGGATTGAAAATCAAAGCCATTTAGCCGCATTTAGAGATGACAAAAATTGAAACCTATATGACTCAAATCAACAATAGATTGGGATACAGGTACCAGTGTGAAGGAAAAGATGCTGCTCTGCTTTGACCAACACCTGGTTGTCGCAGCGGTGGCACCTTTCGCACTTGCTCACAGCATGCAGGGCTCATCGAGGCCAAGACCACCTGGACTGCGCTGAGCGTCGCCGGGGAAAATGGGAATCGATGAATCGATGAAGTACCCGGCCTGGTAAACATACAAAAAGCTATGGAAAATGGCCATAGAAATAGTGAGTTTTCCCATTAAACATGGTGATTTTCCATAGCTATGTAAACGTTTACCAGAGGGTATGAGACTATGATGAGCCACTGAGGAGCCACCGAGGAGCTGCAGAGTCCTGCCTTGTGTGCAGGCAAGCTCGTGCTCCCGACTCTCAAGTTCAGGTCATACCTTGCCCCGATGCATCGCGTACTTGGGATTCCTATCTTTGGCCATGTCTATTCTGTTGTTGGTTGCTTCATGACAAAAAAAAGCGTCTCAAAACTGGAGAATTTTTGGTCCAACAATATCAACAATCCCAGGCATTTCCAGTCTGAAGATGTCTGAAGCACATCCCAGGCATCTCCAGGGCACATCTGGCAAGTTTGGTAGAGGCTCTTGATGCCTCGGACCGACTCCCATGGCTCCGGGCATGCTCAGGCATGCTGTCGAGCACCAGCTGACCATTTGTCATCTTACACAAATGTCAAATCATATATTCATGTATTCATATGATTCATATGTATATAATATTTATTGTACATATAACAACATGAATGATACAACACATTACTAAATTACAACACTATAATGTACATGCCCAAAATGATGGTGTGCTGGGATATTTCCCTGGCCTTCTGCCAGGTTTCTTTCCGGCTTTGTCATCGATGGAAGGTCGGACACCTCAAAACTCGGCAGATGGATCCGAAAACTCCTTTGGATCCATTGGTCAATCATCATTTTTCCCCACATTAATGGCCATTCGGCGGATAAACGACCCATTTTTTGGGCCCCGAATGATCCACGACTCTCAAGCCACGACCATGCGTATTTGTAAAGGGGAAAAAACCCATGACCTTCGCAAAAAGTGCGAAGTCCAATGAAAAACGGCCTCGATCTCAATGGGAGTGGATCCCATGCTTGGCTTGCCGTTTCCGGAAGTCACCTCGCGCTGATGTTATTGGCTCACTGAACCCCCAAAGTTTGAACCCAAGACTCACCAACTGGCCATTGCCCACACACTTTCACGATTGGATTTTTTTGCTTTGACGAGTTGAATGGGTGTCTACCTGGTCTTCAAATCGTGTATCGTTTAGACAACGTAGACACTGTGTTCAGAGCATTATCACCCCACCTGTACACTGTTCTCAAGTGCGATGACATCAGTGCAGGAAAATGCCTATGAGAAAAGACATTGAGTTAACGAAACACATCGCATGTCACATGTCTGTTCTCGGGTCATTGCCCAACGGCCCACCAACGTGCCTTGCCCCACTCCATCTTCCCACGTCTGCACCCCTTCTCTGAGCCAACAATTGCAAAGGTGTCAAAGGTTACTGTGGTGGGTCTGGTGGATCTTGCACGACTTAAACAAATCCATACCTGGCAGGTGGGTGGTTAAGTCCTAATGCCACAGGACTAAAAATCACTCCTTTCCGATATTCACCCAACCTCAGTGTTCTCTTGGCACCGCTTAGATTTTTCTCGAAGATCCATGGAATATCAATAAAACCTGGAGGCATCACACGAACTGCCAGACTCCTCGAAATTGCCAAGCTTGCCAAACATCGTCAAGAGTTCAAAACTTCACCAGGAGACTTTGGTACAGGATGTTCTCATGGTGCTGGATGGTCAACTTGCGCAACTCTTCATTTTCACGAGTCTCGCTGAGCCCTTTGCTCCGCAGCTGGCCCGGAAGGCTGAGAGCCTCGAGATCTAAAGCCATGAATCGTCAGAATGTCCTCATGGATGTCCTCGGAAAAAAAGAAAAAAAAAACATTGTATAAACATAACCAAACATAACCAAACTATTTATATATCCACTGGACCAAGAACAAGAGCCTGATATCAGTGATATGTCTCACATCTACGCATGAACTGCCTGCCTCTGTTGCAAATCGGCAACTGCATCACTGCCTCGGTTTGCGAACCACTCTAATGGTTGTCTGTCAATGCCTCAATGCATATAGGACAATCATGTGACACCATGACCACCGACACAAGCAAAACCCAGCTCCGCATTTCGTGCCTTCGGCCTGTGTCGAAGTTGCCTGAGGGACACACAAACACAAACCCACACGCATGAGTGCGTATGTGGTGCAGTTGATAGTGCAAGTTGGCATGATGAGTGCCCGAGTACATTTTGCCCACAGAGATGTTGCAAAAGTCCCTTCGAAATGGGCTGAAGAATGCGTTGTGAACACAGGGGGGTTCCAAAAGGAAGTCACCTTTTTTCAAGTGGTTTCCCTCACTGAGACCATCAGCTTGCTGGATTGCTACCACAACTTTGAGAACTCCAGATCCTTTCAGAATTGCGCTGGTGCTGTGTAGACGGATCCCTCACCTTGCTTTCAAGCTCGGCAATTCGCTGCCGCACTCTTTGGCACTCCTGCAAGCAGCTTCTAAGTTGGAAACAGCGAGTTTATCACCTGCAATTCTCGAGACGTCTCCCCATGAGGGTGCTGGTTGCCACTCTCGCTGCACCCCTGCTAAGCTGGATACAACAAGGACCAGAACGGGAACGTGCATTGCAATGGCTGTACAGATGTGAAAATTGGATGTGAGAGGATGGCTTTCTGCTCTCTGCACGTCATTCCATTGTTAGAACGGTGCAACCACGGCAACCACAAGCTGTCCATCAGGAGGCCATCCATCTCTAACTCGGCATCAACCATGTCATGGCCTGACGTCAGATTCGCCTAGCTTTGAGGGAACCACCACGAAGGCCCAAACATGTTGCCATGGCGAGTCGCTAATTTTGCCTGTGGGTTGCCGCAATTGGGCCATGAATTGGCATCTGAATTTGCCATAAAACACAGGTCAACTGGCCGCGAACTGGCCGTTCGCTAAAGTTCACATGTCCATCCAGCTGGGGTCCAAACGATTGACGCAGTTCCATCCAGCTGGAGAGACCTGCGCCCAGCAGGATTTGTTGGTTGCGGTGCAACCAACTGCTGCAGATCTGCCGCTTTTTTCTTAAGAAACCATGGCAGTGGATCTCTAGCTGTTAGATTCATGCCAAGATATGCCACGTGTTAAAATATCTAGCTATTGGCATGGGAAGACCGAGAGGCGAAGGCACCTGATGTCCAAGCTGGTCAACAAGTTCTTGGAGTTTCTTCTGTTGTGACATCACCTGCTTTTCGCTCAGGCTGGACGCAACGCATCGTCACAATGTAATCATTGTTTCAGATTTAAAGTGGGACCATCAAGAAAACTTGGTAAACCATGGCAAAACGAGCAGCTACTCTGCAACATGTTCAAAGATTGGTTTGATCTGATGCGACTACATAGACCCAAGTCGAAGATTTTTACGTCTTTGTCCATTTGATCCCCACCTCTTCCTCGTAGGACTGGAGCATCTTCTCAGCTTCAGCCACGGAGACAGAAGAACTGAACCTCCGGATTGTCGGACGTTGATTGCATCAAAAAGGAATATCAATCTCCAACAGCAACTGAGGGAAACTGCATCAAATGGGTGAAACATAATGAAGGCATGCAGTGCAACTGAAAAATACCATAAATGCAACATAGGGCAACTCTCCTACCCTAGCTCTACATTCTCGTCTACTGCTTGGGGTGTCAGGTGTCAACAGCTTTTAGCAGGTGGCAAGGGGTAGCAGCTAGCACCGGTGGCGGCATGACATTTATGTGAACCTGTAAGGCCCTGACGATGATGTGTCGCTGGCCTCAATGATTGCAGGTTATCTTTGCTCTTGCTGTCCAGTTTTCCCACTTATTTTTTGAATCTTCCCACAGCATTTATTTATCCTCCTTGTGTTTCAAGTCAGTCACTGACGCCAAATTCATGGCACGTTCAGGCCTGAGGCAGCTTGCGGCGTAACGACTGAACCTGTGAGTGACGGGTGTTGCTACTCTGGAGCCTTCAAGGCTAGCAAAGACAAACACATCACCTCATCACCCTAAAATGTAATTTGATAATCTGTTAGAGTTATGTAGACATGATGAGTTTGATTCACAATATGATCCAATGATCAAAACTACTTGACCAAACGTTGGCGCAAGGCCTGAGATTATCGCAGGATATGTTTACCCTGCCTGATCACCCTTTGACAGCCATTGGATGAAAATTACTGTTGAAGTTGAAGGCACCCTTGTACCTTTTTGACGTATGAGTGAGACGGTGCTCAAGAATCTGGTAGTCAAGAATTTGGTGGTTGACAACATTTGACAACATTTGACAACTGTTGGCTAAGTTTGAAGGTCCCAAAGATAAGTACAATAGTCTGGTGTTGCCTGTTTTGTTTCCGTCATGGCACCTTCCTCCGCCATTGCGAATCACGAGTCTGCTGTGCCAGCGCTGCCAATGCGGCCTGTTGTTGGGGGCATGGAACGTTGCGAGTCTGTCTGTTTGACTATGTTTGTATGTGTACATGATATGTGTTCATCAATGCAAAGAACTATCATTTCATTTCGCAACGGGTTTTAGTTGGCACATTTACGAGGAAATGTCCCTCACGTTAAACGATGTTTTCAGAGACCCCACCAGCAATGAGGCCGCAGGACACTGCAACACCGGCGACTTTTTGTGCGATCTCGGCTCAGTTCTGAGTCTCATAGATTGAGACCACATGGGCCGGCAGTCGCGATCTCGCACGAATCACTAAGAAGAAGTAAGCATTGAAAGAGTTCATGACCTCAGAGGACTCAGTTACTGCTTCCAGGTGCGTGTTGCCAGATGCGGATTGGCAGGGAATTCTCACGAAAACTCGCTGCATCTGACCTTTCCAAGCACAAAACAATCATAATGAGGACCGTGAGATGATCTGAGCCAATCATTTCCACTGGCATGTCCAATCGTCACCACCTTTGCATTATTTTGCATTTATATGTATATATATATATACACACATTTACATGTGGCCACCCTACTTACTTTTCTCCAGCAAGCAACGGCCATAGACCAGAAGTAGAGCTGGGTCCAATCTGTCCTGAAAGACTTGGGGCTCGACTAGCCCACCCCTTTTGCTCGGGATGGAGGCAATTTCATGATCATTCTCTGGTTATTGGTTATATTAGTTATATACATATACATATATAATATACATATATATATATATTATATATAGTTATATTATCACTAAGATCACCATTCTTGTTGGTTTCTGGTGAAACCTCTCAAACTTGCGGCGCTCCCACCTGGCGAAGAAGCCTTGCTGATCTGATTGCAACTGCCTCAGGTGACCGACTCCAGCGGTGGAACCGGTGAACCTGGAAGTGGTTTAAGTGGCTGTGACAGCTGGCATTAGGTTGGATATGGTTGGATCAATGGCTGGCCATATTTTCTGGGCTCATCTGTGCTCCAAGACAACTAAACATCCCTTAAAATGCTAACTTGTCCACATCGGGGAAGGCATGGTCAATGCCACCTAGCTGCAGTCTGGTGCTAAAACTTCCTTTAGTCGTAAGCTCGCGTGAGACGATGATCACTGTGTCCTTGCAAGCTGTGACGTTGTGGTTCCAGCAGAAATTGACACAATTTGCTCAAACTATGGCGCACTGCGGGATTGTGCGTGAATCTTCCCCTCAACTCCAAACACCAGCGTGCACCCACAAGAAGAAGAAGCCAAATGGAAACTTGACGAACAACTGTGACTGTGAAAGACAGTGCGACAATCAGAGTGCAACTCTTTAACATTCAACAGCTTGGAGGGGGTTCCAGATCACCAAGCGATGCCGGGCCACGATCAGGGGAAAGATCACGCGCAGAAAGATGTAGACAATTGACAAAAACCTTTGCTGCTGGGGCCAATAACCATTGCTCCCAAAAAAAACATCCAATAAGCATCTGTAAAAATCTCAAAGTTGAGTACCCCCAAATACGCCGGAAAAACTTCGATCAAGATCAGACAAGAGGCTGGTAGATCTTGGATGCCGACAAATGCGAAAAGCGCAGCAGGAACTTGCTCATTCCAAGGATTGCCCCCGACAGATCGATGCAAATGCTCAGCTGGCAGAGGACCCTGAAGTCAATATCTGTCCTTGGGCTTGGTGCAAGGGCAAGGAAGAAATTGTTTTTTGTCACTGGGGATCACTGGGATATGAAATGAATATGAAGCACTTCATGGCACGTTCCCACACCCAAGACTTCAATCGCAGATGCCTTCGCCCTACGCTGGGCTAAGAATCTGTGTAGAGCAAAGAATGCAAATTGGAGAGACCAAGTGGTGGATCAATGTCTCCGGTTCCATCCTGAGGTCACCAGGCTCTGTCAGTCTCTGAAACAATCAACGGCCACTTGGCCCCATGTCCTGCCCACCCTGCAGCAGGAATCCTCTGGAAGCCCAGACTAAACGAATCGAAGACCTCAAGAGTCACAGGAGAATGTGTTCAGAGCTCCGGGAGATCTGCATTGAGGTTTTACTCTTTTGGCTTTGTCCCTTCAGATTGTCAAACTACCATCGGTTCACCTTCACTCGCTCTTCCTCTATGCATGCAAAAGTTCAAGTTGTACACATTTCAGATTTCAAGTTGGATAATCTCTCACCGAAATACCAGCGGGTTCCCAAACCTTTATGAACAAATGTTAACTCACAGGTGGAGCACCCAATCCTGCCTCATAACCGATCTCGAGGCAAAATGCGTGCAAGGCTAAGTACGGATAGCCCAAAAGCCACGCCAGCATTGCCATAGACGTCACCGCGGAATTGTGTACGACCTCGAGGCAAATTGGAGGTTCAGGCATGGCATGGCAGTGATTGAGGTCACAAAAATTGCTGCTTGGTGGTTGACCTACCCCTCTGAAAAATATGAGTTCGTCAGTTGGGATGATGACATTCCCATATGGAAAAATAAAAAATGCTCCAAACTACCAACCAGATTGTATGTGCATGGCCAATGTTAACCCCACGGTTGGTTCAATGGCAGCCATCATGCGCTGCAGCTCAGCAACAATGAACAGTAACTCAGCTCCTGTCCTTTTCCGGATATACCTCCAGGAGGGTTGCTGCTGCCACACCGTTTCAAAATGTCCATTCTCTCCCAAATCAAGCAATATTGCAGGGTTCTCAGGGGACTACGTTCAAGCAAAAAACATTATTTGAAGCTGCCGCTAGTCAGAACCAGCCTCTTTTTGGCAACGCCCTCTTCAGCGGCTTCCTCCCCAAGTTGCGCTTCCTTGGTTTTGGGGAGGCTAGTCTGCTGCATGCCAAGACCAAGAGTCCCTTTTGAGATCTTTGAAGTGGGTCACCTTAAAGTGTGGCAAATCAACAACATCCCTGACATCTACTATATGATATGGTTTTGATACCCCCCAGATCGCAAAAGTGGTTGAATGGGGTATCGTTTATGGCATTGGGGAGCCAACCACGAAAGAAAAAACAGTCATTGAAACTGCGCTCCGACTTAAGCTGAGAAACTTGGCCAGGAACGACTTCCTGCAAAAGCAGGGAAACCAATGGATTCCATGGATGAAAACGGCGCAAAATATCGTTGCTGGGATACCGTGTTTCACCGATCTGCACTCCAACTCTCTGAACGTGCCTCCCACACATCATCCCTGAGTTGGAGATTGGGATGAAGTCGCAGCAACAAGCGGGTCAGCAGGAGTGGAGCTGACCTGGGGCAAAGCACCGCAAATCATTTGGTGGTTTTTAAAAGAAAAACTCAGAAAAACGAATCCAGGTTTGCAACTTACGAGAGATCCACCAAGTCCAGATGGCCCCAACATGTTCCCAAGATGGCTTCAACATGGCTTCAACATGGCCTCAATTGGGCACAAGCTAGCCCCAAAATGGTCCCAACAACAACCAAGCCGTGAGGCGTAAGCCTTTAAATATTGATGTGCAACTCCTGCTCAAGAAAAGCTGCATCAACTTCTGCAGCATAGCAAAGCTAGTCCAAGTTGGTTTACTAAGTACCTGATCATGTTGTTCACCAACTACAACTCACACATGTGTCTCAATCTTCTGGTTGAATGACCTTGTCAGCACGTAGCCCGCTGCTGTGCAGACCATGGTCATCATCACCAACGACAGGGCCACATCCTGTGGTGAGCGGCAAATGACATCTTGCTGAGAGCCATCAACCAGTTTTGTGATTGTACAAATATGAGAATGTTGTCCTGGCATGACCGTATTGGAAAAGTGAAGGGTGTGATTGGTATGATGTTCTGCCATAGACTTACTGCATACCACAATTTGCAAATCAAAAGTTTCCACCTAAACATAACACAGTCAGGCTGTCCCGGATTCCGGGCACTGCAGCCCCACAAGTGGCACCTGTGCAGGGATTGGTCCAAAGGCCTGTCGTTCAGCGAAGATGGGTACGAAGAGGCTGCCAAAGCCACAGACCAAGGACCTGCGGCCGATCTAAGTGACCCAGCCGGGCAGAATGTGCAGTTGATCACCATGGATTTCCGAAAATGTCGCACCGAAAAAATTGGTTTCCCCGTTTTGCAGCTTTGAAATGTTCCACCAGTCGCTACCCGGTACCCCACCTGGCCCATCCCAGACTCGGATTCTCCATGGCTCAGAACAACTGGACAATGACGCAGCTGTGAATCAAAACCCTCGAATCCCAACTGTGTTAGGCCTTTGAGTCATCATTTTGTTCAAACTAATTCAGCAAATACCCATGGACCGTTGAATCATTGTCAATAGGTATAGTTGCTGGATGTTTCTGGGAGTTCTTGCTTGTTTATCTTGTTGGGAAATCCAGCTTGAAGAAAAGGCCGGAAGGACAGTCTTGTGCGGATCATCATACTAGAGAACTGTGTACAGCTGAATCTGCCGAAACGTCTCAACCATTCTCTGAATTGCAACTGTAAATCTTCATATTCACCCTAAACCTAGCCGTTCATCATCGACATCGAGGGGATATGTGAGTTCCTAATTTTGTGAGGAAACTGCTAACCTCAATGGATACGATGTATCATGATGTATCTATGCTTAGAAGCTCTACAGCAGCGGAAAGTCAACAGCCCCAGCTGTGATCACGCTCAAAAAGATTTCTGGGTGGAGGCTCTCTATGTACCTGATGTATCAGGATCAAATTGCAGTGACTTGAAATCTCTCCCCAGACTTCCCTAGTTTCAAGCAGACTCCAAAAATTCTTTTCCAGTCATCAGTCCTTGACCCAGACCCAGGGCAGCACTAGGCACGTGTCATGAGATGGACACCGGGCGCAGGGTCGTTCCCATCGCAAACCGCCCGGAACCTGCTCATCGGCCAAGCGCAAAAGTTCCTCATGCTCGAGGCAAAGATCCCACACCTTGGGCGATCATTCCACATTGAATCGACATTGAATCGACATTGAATCAGTTTGAACCATCCAACATACAAAAAAACTGAATCAAACTGACACACCGAAATTTCAGAGGGTTTTGGCTCCTTCCAACTAGCAAGATGTGCGCCTTTTCCACTCTTCACTCGGAGGGCACTTTCTCCATGGAGGATGGAGCACGGCCCGAGGTGCTTCACGTTTCGCTGCAATTTGGCAGCACTACACACCCGGGTCAGCACAGAGGGCAACACTGCAACCATCATGGCAGTGGGGAAAACTGAAACGGCGGCGTAGGGCTGACCAAACCGTATCAGTTGGATACAAAACCACTGACTTGACACATCAATTTGATACGTCCGATATTTGGCTCTTGACCCTGAAGAGTTTGGTAGAAGTATTCATGGATCATTTGCTACAACGCGGACGACATTGGTTTCTGTTAGCTCAATATATTTAAAGCATCATGTACAGAATTAATCATCATGTATTATATTATATATATATATATTATATATATATATATTGTGACAAAATCAACAAGTAGATTGGGCACTGCTCTGTTCCAAGTCAGGACTTGCAAGTGCACGGCATCGACTGGGTGTGACACAGGCCTTCTTTCCCCCGCGTTCACCCTGAACCGATTTCGATCGATTTCGGTATCAGCTAAGACAACCATTTTCAAAAGGATGAATCCAGCACAGCTAGGCCTATGCTCAGATGCGCTGAGATGCGCTGAGATGTGCTGAGATGCGCTCAGAAACCAATTCTTTGGCGCGGTGCTTTTTCATGTTCGGGCGAATCTTCCACCCGATGGAGCTCAATCCTGGTTCCCCCGGATTCTGCCTGTCCATCCCTGGAGAAGCTCACGTTGCTGGTGGTTTTTTTCTTCCCCATTGATGGAGAGCCCTCCTCACGTGTGGGGTACGGGTACTCCCATGGCTGCCGCAAGAAGTTCCGAAGTTCTTCCTGGGAGGCGACAAGTGCAGGAGGTGCAGGATCAACCCCAAAATAGGCATGTGAAATCCTTTGCAACACCTGATTGGGGTAAAAGGTTTTTATGTTGCCAATCTCCTTGTAATCTGGGAAATAAACGATTGGCCGTCTGGACCCAATGTCCATGATTTCTTACTCTTCCCTTCAGAAAGTCGGTGACCAGCACGCTAGTTGGCCAAGTCACGTAGTCGGTATCGCTATGCGCTCCCAAACCCCCCATCTGATCCAAAAGCCCGCAATCACGGTACGTCTCGTCATATCGAGAGACCTGACAAAAACAGCTCGGTGGTTCTGTTTCGTCACAAATGTTGAGCCTCTTCAAATCTTTTCCGCGAACACCTTGGTTTCAGGCCAACATGCTGCTGTACCAACTACCAAGAAAGGGCCCCGCCTTGCAATACCTCAAGACCTTGGCTGCACTGACGCTGCTGTCATTTCGGAAGTTGGCACGCTCATCATCCACCAAGACCATGTGCTCCAGTCTCAGTGCGGTGGTGCTGTGGCTACCGTTCAGTGCTTTTTTCGGAGATGTCAGTGGAATGGTTCTCAATAGATCTATATATATATAGATATATATATATATAGTATCTTCAGAAATTGAGCACAAAATAGATATCAAATTACAGAGCCCAGCCCGCTTGGGATCTGGTCAGCGAGAAAAATGTCATGACCAGCAAGAAAATCTGGAACCCTTGCAGTCATGCCTTTAGCGGGCAGAGCAAACGGAGAGGCGGAAATCAACAACAAGTGGACTGCATTTGTTCAAGTACATAGATATAGATTGTGGATTTGTAAAGGAAGACAACCAGTGTCTTTGTGTCTATAAATCAAAGCCTTGGTCACCTCTGAAATATTTTCCCCACAACCCTTAGTGTTGACTGCCCACCTCCCAGACTCGCAGAAATTCTATAGTCGGATTAGCTGATTGGATTCGATTGCTTAGATGATCAGATTGGACTGCTTAGAGAGAATTAGACTAGACATATGACATCATATGACAATTATTGCATGGCTTTCCAAGTTTCTAAACTGCATTCAGATGACATGAGTTCCATGCCGTCAACTTCACTCGACGCGCCTGAGGTCGCTCAACTTGGCAGCCAACTTCGTGTCACTACTGAGTTGAGGCAGCCAGCGCAGCGGCTGGACAGCCACATGCGTCCTTGACGGCACCCAGAAAATCTAGAAAGGTAAAGTCCAGGGAAAGTGTGATTTAAGATGGTTTAACCGTGTTTAACCGTGTTTAACCGTGTTTAACCAACCTAGAACTGGGAGATCTTCTTGGAGCCTTGATGCAAATCATACAAACCAGACATGAACAAACGTGAGGTGCTGAGCCAGGCGTCAGAAGATCCGCTTTGTGCTGCTGGACTTCGTTGCAAGGGCTTCGAAACAAGCTCCATCTGCCATTTTCAAAAAATGCGCCATCGCAGTCACCTGATACCAAAGGACCAGCCTTTTATTAAGCTACTACCCCAAACAACCATGGCAAGACGGAAGGGCTCTACATGGATTGGTTTCTTCACAAGAGGCATGTTTCTTCTTCGAATCGTTTCAACTGGTGTACCTTCATGTGAAATTTCTCCCGCTTGCTTGGCCCAAACCAAGTTTCTTCCAATGGTTATGAGAGGATACAGCAGGTACACGCACCTTGTGGAGCAGACATGCACCATATGGCACTGAAATGCTCCAGCAGATTGGCCAAGCGCAACAAATTCAGCACGGCCACCTGGGCTGAAGCTCCGAGGTGAATGTTGACTTTCATGGGAGGGGCTATGTGATCAAGCTACAAAGACCTGCGGCGAGACAGCTACTTGGGCGGCAATCCCAGAAAAATAGGCTCAGTTTTCATGGAGTGGTTGATGTCAAGGTGCTACACCACTCTTGTTTTGAGTCAGGATGGCCAAGGCTTTGTCCTGAGCGATCTCTTCCTGAGCCCAGTCCAGCATCTTGGAGATATCACATCAGGATATTCGGTGGGTCATGGGCTGGTCGCACTTTAGATCTACAGAAGACACTCCCATGTCCTCAACTCCAGTGCTGTGAACCACCCTTCCGTGAAAGCGAAAACTAAATCCCTATCTGACCTATCTTTTTGGTGTCAGGTGTCAAAAAGCGCGCGAAGTTTCTCCACTCGGCTTCCATCAACCCAAGGACTCTCGAAGTTGTACTTCACAAGGTCCTCCTGACTCCAGTCCTCACGAATTCTGCACTGCAGCAGGCATAGTGACATAGGGAAACCAAAAAGAATTGGGAACCGGTCGGTGCTTCAAGAGAAGAGTTCACGGAGACTTACCAAGTCTTCGCAGGGGCCCAAGGCACAGGTGTTGTGCAAAAAATGCAAGTCTTAACTTATCGATGAAGAATCCTTTTAAAATGTCATTTCTGAACCAAATCTGATTCTCAAATGTCAACTGGTTCCCTTGAGAAAGTTTTGTTTTCCTAATTACAACGGTCAATCACCATATCTCTCTGTGAAACACAAGCGTCCCAAAACGTGGCCATAAAATAGAACACCCCTGGCTGCCTCTGGTCGGAACATCTCTATCGAATTTTATGGATCTATCAACAGCATTCCCAGGTCCTTGAACTCTGCTTCCGCTGGATTCCAGCCAACCTAGAGATCAAAACGCGGTTTTTCACAAAGTGAGCCCACCCATGGGGGTTCCCAAATCGGTTCCCAAATCGGACCATGGCTGGAGGTTCCCGGAGGCTCCCGGAGGCTCCCGGAGGCCTTGGTGGTGATGGCCTTGCTACGAGGCATGAAGGTGGCCATGGTGAGCGTCTCGTCAAAATCAAAGACCACCAGCTTCACCGGTGGATGTTTCCTGGGCTGGAACCCCTGAGAATTTTTCCAGCCATACATTGTATATTCATATTCATTCGTATATATATATATAATTATATATATATATTGGTCTCGTGTTCCGTGTTCCTACCCCCCCAATTGTATGGGTCCCCAGGTAGCACCCCCTTCCCTTCCTTCCCTTCTATTTGCAAGCTATTGGCAGCATTTCTGAAGTCCAGCCTCGTATTTGCTAGGTCTTACCAGACTCGCATTTACTAGGTACAGGCTACCTTTTAGACGACCTACGTAGCACATACTCCCTCAAAGTACCTATACCTAGGTGCTACCTATAGTCATATATATATATATATATTTACATGTGCTATGTATATATATATATATATCTACTTCCTATTTACTACCTGTGTACTTTCACAACACTACATGTGTTTAACATATACCATACCTACCATACATTCCAATGATACCATGCATACCATGCATACCATACATACCATACATACCATACATCCCATACATACCATACATCCCATACATGCCATACATACCATACATACCATACATACCATACATACCAATACCATACATACCATACATACCATACCTATCATACCTATCATACATACCACACATGCCATACATACGAAACATAATTGCCACACCTACCATACATACAATACCAAACATACATGCGGCCATACATACCATACCTACCTTACATAGCAAACTTTCCATACCCATCATAGTAACCATACGTACCATACAGACCATACATACTGTCATATCAAACATACCATGCCCAACAGACTTACATACCATGCCTACCATCCATACAATACCAACCATTCATCCCATACATACCATACCTACTATACATACCAAACATACCATACCACACCCCCCCACCCCACAGGCGGGGGAGGGGGACAGTACTATGGCTGACCCATGACCATGGCCGGGGGGTATGGGGGTTGGAACGCTGGACCCCATAATATATGTATATATATATATATTGTGAAATCATGCATGATCGTGATGTGCATTTCCCATGGGGTTCATCAACTTCCTTTCCACAGCTGGGGAAGGCTCAAGGTGAGCCAGCGGTGGGAGTGGCATAGCTTTTGCCATAGGCTACGAGCGTTGGACGCAAGGAGGTAAAACAGAAGTGTGCAGCGAGGACGCTGCGGGTTGGAATCCACGGTGACGCTGCCAATCTCATTTGAGATTGGTAGCGGAGCCGGTTGCTCCGAAAGGGGACCGGCGACGCTATGCCTGCTGAGGACAGCAGTGATGGTGGTGCAAGCACCAGCCTTGGCTCGGTGCCGAATCAGTTAGCTATGCTGGTTCCAACGTTCAATCCAGCCACTGATTCCGTCGACACATGGACTCAGAAGGTGGAAATGCTGGTACTAGCCTGGCCCGAGACAAAGATCAAGGAGCTTGCAACAAGGCTTGTGTTGGGTTGTCAGGGAACGGCCTTCCAAAAGCTGCAACTGCATAGGTCCGAAGTTTTGACAAATGATCCAAAGTGCATTCAGAAGATCGTGGAGATAGTTGGAGGTATTTGGGGTCAGGTCCCCCTTGAGCAGAAGTTTGAGTTAGCTGAAAGGGCACTTTACAGAACACAGCAGAAGAACGATGAAACATCTGACTCATACCTTGCTAGAATGGATGTTACCTGGACTGAATTGCTTTCCAAGAAACTGTCGCTGAGTGAACTCCAAGCCTATGTCACTTTGCGCAGCAGCCGACTGTCACCAGAGGACAAGAAACGGGTGATTGTCGAGTCCGGAGCTGAGAGTGGAGGCCAATTGGAGCTTCGGAAAGTGTCAGCTGCGATCAGAATGTTGGGATCAAGTTTTTTTCAAGATGTGACGGGTCAACGCCGTGACAAGAGCCAGAAGGTCTATGACCACCTCACCCTTGCAGCTGAAGAATGTGAGGAATCAGAGATGGATGCATACTATGGTCAGGATGAGACATGGGATGATGAGGCCATTGAGGCCTTAGCAGCCGAGAATGATGAGGATGCCAGTATGATTCTTCAGTTCGAAGATGCTGTAGCAGAGGTTGTCCAAGGTGATCATGATCTGGCTGCCTTCTTCAGTACATATCAAGACGCAAGGCGTCGCCTTAGTGAGCGAGTGCGTGTGCGTGGCTTCTGGCCAGTAAAAAAGGGCATGGGAAAGAAAGGAACATGGAAGGGCAAAGGCCCGAACAAAGGCAAGGGGTCAAGTCTGGCTCAAAGGATTGCAAATAGTCACTGTAGGCTGTGTAACCAGAAAGGGCACTGGAAGGCAGAGTGCCCAAACAGGGCATCCAATCCCAGTGGCAGTTCCTCAGCTACGGTGGTACCGACATCTTTTGCCATTGTTGACCCGGTGCTGAACACCGTGATCGAAGTGCCAGTGATGGATCAGCCCATTCCGAACGCAGCTGATCCGCATGCCAGAACATGTGTCCAGGAATGTCATGTCAATTTTACTGATAATTTGGGACATAATGGGGGTAATAAGATAAGCAGGGGTAAGAACATGTCAAAGTTTTGGGCAGTTCGTTTTGGATCCAAACTGAGGCACAGACTGACAGCCACCAGTGATTCCATCCGTAGATCAGCCGTCCCTGCGATGTCTTTGCCAAAGGTGCCCGAAAGTCCCAACCAGGTCTTGAGACATGATCATGTGATGCCTGAAGAGATTTCCCAAGACAGCCGAACTGATGTTGCATGTTTTGCCTCGTCGGGCACAGTTGGCATTGTGGATTTAGGAGCTTCCCGCACAGTGGTAGGAAGCCAGCAAGTCAAAGAGATCTTGAATGGAGTGCCAGAACACATTCGGTCTCGAATCCGCCGTACCAGCTGCAATTTAGTTTTCCGTTTTGGCAACCATCAGACCCTGAGCTCACAGCATGCACTACTTTTTCCATTTCATGACATGTGGTTTGAAGTAGCAATTGTAGAAGGAAACACACCCTTTTTGCTGTCAGCCAGTTTTCTGAAGCAGATTGGAGCTGTCATCGATGTTGAGCATAATCAGTTGTGGAGTAGAGTCCTGAACCGTGCACTGCCTGTTGGAACGTCGCCCAGAAACCTGATGCTTTTGGACATCAATGAGCTGTGGGAAACTGAAAATCAGACTCATGCGGGTCTTGTGATGGAAGCCCAGTTTCAAGAAAATGCTGAAACCAACATCTCTTTGCAGGTGTCATCAAAAAATGAGCATTGGCGGCGGTCAGTGGATTCCGTCTTGCATCAACCAAGTGATCACACTAGCCCAAGAGAGTCACCAGCTGGATGTCCACAATCAGCTGCTACATCCGAGACCAGTCAACCGATCACAGTGTCTAGGCCCAAGTCCGTGGAGCCCCAGTTGTTGTGCGATCTCTCCCAGGATACCGGTGTGTTTCAAGATGGCCACCTTAGCTCAAAAGATGAAGGCTCGAGCCCAGAGAGCCAACATCGAAACCGAAATGCAGAGCCTCGAGTCATTCCAGAAGATGTCACTTTCCGAGATGAAACAACTGACAGTGGATTTCGGAGAGAAGTACCGAGGCCAAAGTTACCTGACAGCCTTTCAGGACAGTCGGTGGGCCGAGTGGTTTGTAAACACGTACTCCAAGAGCACCAAGATCAATCACCAGAAGTTCTTGATGTTTGTGGAGAAGCAACTGGAGGCCGGGGAATGTCCGTGTCCGGACAAACCATATCCCAGTCAAGGCAAAGTGACACCGGAAAAGATCAAGCTGTCAGTGAAGCCAGTCATCGACCCAGGCCTGACCGAGTGGGACAATGTATCGGAGGAGAACATGCCCAGCAGCCATGTGCTAGACCTCTAGGAACAGATGTCCAACATGCAGGCCAATCATCACAACATGCATCAGAGGATGTGTGGGATCGAGAACGCCGTGCAAGAGCTGATCACTCACATCAAGGGCCTCCAGGTGAAGACCGAGATGTGAGAGTGCTCCGCGACCATGAGGCGACAAGTCTCCATGCGGTAGATTGGGCCAAATCACAATTTTTTGATTTGCCGGACCCTGCTGAGGTGGAATTTGAGTTTCATGCCAACAGTCATCCCATGAGCTTCTCACAGGAATTTCAAAGGTGGATAAAAGTGTTTGAGAAAGAAGTCAACATGCTCAGACGCCTGAATTTTGACTCTATCCGAATCTCAAGACTTGATGTCCTGGAAGTAATGTGTTCAGAAGACAGTGAACTCACCAAGCAGGTTCACCATCTCAACGGGAAAGCCCAGCGTTTTGGCATCAAGGAGGGAGACCTTCAACAGACATCCGCCAGACTGCAGCTGTTTCGACTCATCCTGCTCCGTAGGCCCAAGAGTCTCTGGTATAGCCCGGAATGTGGACCGTGGTCAATGTGGAATTTTCTCAATATGGGTAAGTCACTTGAACTTGAAGAAAAATTGATTCACAAGCGTTTTCAACATGTGTGGCAAATTGCTCTAGGGGTAGTGCTGTACCGTTTGCAAGTGTCCCAAGGTAACCACTTCCATTGGGAACAGCCTGGGGGATCAGATATGTTCAAGTTTCCGGAGCTGGACGAAGTCCATCATGGTTGCCACCTGTGCAGATTTGATTTGTGCCGTGTTGGGAACCTCCAAGATCCCAGATCGCATGCACCCATTCGGTAACGCTTGGAAGTGTTATCAACCTCTGAGGATATGTATCATGAGATCCATGGAAAGTTTTGCCATCAAGATCATGAACATCAACATGTTGCTGGGAACACGGTATGGCAAGGAAGATCCATGCCCATGTCAAAATTCACGCAACACTATCATCCCAAGTTTGCCAGAACCATTGCAAAAGTGATGTTGCATGAGACAGCCAAACCCCATGTGATCTTTGCCCAGGAAGATGAAGATCAGCACCCGACAAAGAAACGTCGTTTAGGCCAGAAATCAAGTCCACAACAGATTGCCGAACGCTTCCAGAGGGTGTCATGGCAAGTCGTGATGCAAGAGGCCGACAAGGTGGCTCCCAGGGTAGGCATCAAGGTGTTGGAACAAGGTGCACTCATTGACTTAGTCAAACGCATGTGTCCTCAACATGATGTACAGCATGTGGTTCTTTGTAGGGGTACTGATAGATGTGTTGGTCCCAACAAAGCTCTGCAAGCCTTTGATGCCCCACTCCGTAGAAGAGTTTGCATCCGTAGGAGGTTGGAAACAATTGAGGTGGAAGAAGAATGGGAACCGTGGGGAAGGTTGTCACTTAAAGCCTTGCGGCGGAAAGCCGTGCCTGCCCGGGTGAGCTTGACCGTGTTTGCCCGCGCCAAAGTTCCTGAAGCACTCACTGATGATGCCTCCATGCCAGTGAATCAATCACCAAATGAGTCAAGACCATTGACTCATGAAGTTCCCGAAATGCCTGACGAATCTCCTCCAAAGCGTGCATGCCACCGAGCCGCGGAAGAACCACCAGAACAGCCAGGGGACCCACAGTCTCAAACAGGCGATCAAAGGCATGTCATTGATCTGGCGTATGAAAAACATGGACCTGCCTTTTTGAAGTTAGGTAAGGAAACACAGTCCTGGATTCTCAAGCTTCATAGGAACCTAGGTCATCCAGGTGCTGCCAAACTGGTGGAATTCTGCAAACAACTTGGTTGTCCAGTTGAAATTCAGAATGGAATCCGAGAGCTGAAATGCTCAACATGTCAGGAGCAACAGACTCCGCAAATTGCGCGCCCTGCAGCCATTCACTCACCGGGTGATTTTGGCGATGTGATTTCAATGGATGCTGTCAAGTGGACTAATCACCAAGGGGAACAATTTGTGTTTTACCATTTTGTTGACCAAAGCACCTCATACCAGACCGCTGTTGCAGTTCCATCAACTAGCGCCAAATCAGCCATACAAGCCTTGATGCATGGGTGGATTTCATGGGCAGGACCTCCAGGTCTCCTATGTGTTGATGCTGCCACGGAACTCAATTCAGAGGAGTTCTCAAAGTTTTTGCACAAACATGGAATTCCAGCAAAGACCATTGCTCCAGAGGCCCATTGGCAAAACTCACGGGCTGAACGTCATGGAGGGATTTTGCAGCAAATTTTGAGTAAGATGGATGTTGAAGAACCAATTGCATCTTTGGAACAATTAGCCAATGCTTTAGCGTTTGCTACTCACACGAAGAATCAATGGAGTCGTCATCGCGGATATCCACCTGAGCTTTTGGTTTTTGGGAAGTCTCGCAGGGTTGTAGGATCAGTCATCAGTGATCCATCGATGGCATCACACACTGCAGCACTGGAAGAGTCACCAGATGGTCTTCGCTTCCGTGAAGAACTAGCGCTTAGAGAACGTGCAAGAAAGGCATTTGCCAGTGTCGATAACCATCAGGTGTTACGTCGAGCCATGGTCCACCGCAGTCGACCATCAAGGGGTAATTACTCCAAAGGGGAATGGGTAATGATATGGAAGAAAAGGGGTGAAGCTGATGGTCAATGGCATGGTCCACTCCAAGTGGTAATCCAGGAAAGCTCTCATGTGATTTGGGTAACGGGAAATGGAAAACTTTACCGAATAGCCCCAGAACATGTGCGATCACTTTCAGCCATGGAGGAGACTTCTCACCAACAAGTCATTGCCCTAGGAAAACCTGCCGAAAGCATTCTTCCTTCAATCATTCCAAGCCATGGAGGGGTTCAATATCATAACCTTATCAATAATCCAGACACTGTCAACTCTGATAACATACTACCCCATAACAATCCCAATAACGTCAATAATCCCGTTCCATATATTCCAGTACCTGACGACCACCCAACAGAAGTCCCACTGCAGAATGCCAGCCCGCATGGTGAGTCCCTTGGGTCTGAACAACCAGACGATGAACCAGAGGTTCAACAGACAGCCAGCGAGAATGCACCAGAAATGGAGCACAATCATGTGGAAATCCCCATACCAGAGGACAGTGACACAGATCTTGTCTGTGAAGAATGTTGGCACATGGAACAGGATCAAGCATGGTGTTTTGAGGTGAACGTTTGCCAACAAGACATCAATAATTGGAGAAAGGAAACCAGACCACATCAGATGGCATTCCTGGTGCCCGCAGCGAAGCGACAGCGATCTGAAGTCAAGCTGACAAACTTGACACCTGAACAGCAGAAACAATTCGCAGATGCCAAGGCCAGTGAGATCGACAGTTGGCTCGCAACTGAGACAGTAGCCAAAGTTCTTCGCCACCAGATACCCGCAGAAAACATTTTGAGATGTCGATGGATTCTCACATGGAAGGACGTTGAAAATACAGGATCTAGTAGCAGTCAAGACTACAGTAAACCAAAACAGAAAGCCAAAGCAAGACTTGTAGTTTTAGGTTATGAGGATCCCCAAGTTGACTCCATACCACGAGATAGTCCAACCATGTCAAAGTTGTCACGAATGTTGATTCTCCAGATGGCCGCCAGTCGCAAATGGACCATAAGAAGTTTTGACATCAAGACCGCGTTTCTCAGAGGTCAAGAACAGGGGTCGCGAATACTTGGAATAGAGCCTCCGATAGAGATGCGACAGCGACTGAGAATGCAACCGGGTGAAGCACTGCAGCTTCTGAAAGGAGCATATGGCCGTGTCGATGCACCATACCTTTGGTTTCATGAACTCAAGGCTGCCCTTGAAAGCCTTCAATTTCAAGCAGCTCCATTTGACCCATGCACTTTTGTCTTGGTTGATGATCATGGCGTGACACAAGGGGTAATTGGAGTTCATGTTGATGATGGTCTCTGTTGTGGTTCAGCCATTTTTCATGACAAGCTTCGTGAACTCGAGAAGAAATTTCCATTTGGCAGCCAGAAACATCAAGAATTTACATTCACAGGTTTACACATCAAACAACATGAAGATTTTTCAATCACCGTTGACCAACAACAATATATCAAAGATATACAACCAATCACACTGACTCGAGCTCGACGCAGCCAACCAGAGGATGTGGTAAATGAAAAGGAAAGGCAAAGTCTGAGAGGTCTCATTGGAAGCCTCCTCTATGGTGCCGTGAACTCTCGGCCTGACCTTTGTGCCCGTCTGGGATGGTTGCAGAGTCAAGTGAATAGAGCCAAGGTGGCCACTTTGTTGGAGGCAAATCGCATCCTTCATGAGGCCAAAGAGCATTCCTCTGTTGCTTTGCGCATACAGCCGATCTCAATCAAAGACCTTCGATTTGTGGCATTTTCTGATGCGTCATTTGCGTCAGAAAAGGTTCAAGATTCACATCAAGGAATGATTATCATGGCTGCTCATCAGGATATAGGTCACAATCAAAGAAGTCCCATCAATCCCATCTGTTGGCACTCAAAGAAAATTCAACGAGTGGCTGTCAGCACGTTGTCTGCAGAGGCAATGGCTCTTGCAGGAGCGGTGGATTGCTTATCCTGGGTAAGACTATATTGGGCATGGCTGGTAGATTCCAACTGCGATTGGCGCAGAGCAGATGGCTTGTTACAGAAACTGCCACCAGCGTTTTCAGCACTTCATCAGGACGAAGATTCATCAGAGACTTTTCCGATTGAATGTCAGACTCTTCTGGGACAAACCAATGTTAAGGGGATCTTAACCACTGATTGCAAAAGCATATTCGACCTAATAAGTCGAACTGCGCCGCCAGCATGCCAAGAATTCCGAACACAACTTCAAGCAAAGTTGATCAAGGAACATTTGCATAACGGCATACAAATCAGGTGGGTGCCCTCAGGTGCACAGATTGCCGATGCTCTCACGAAAATCATGGATTGTTCTATGTTAAGGGCCTGCTTAAAATCAGGATGGTATAGTCTGCACGATGAATCGGAGATCCTTCGAGCTCGCTCAGACCGGAGGTCTCAACTGAAATGGTTGCAGCAGAATGCCGAACCTTCGAAGTCAACTCCACCAGACAACCAGAGCCAGATCCAGCAAGGGGTTTAACAATGTTCTGTGAAAAGCCAAGTCGTCACAGTTTCCTTGTTTTTGGGGTTTTGATATTTCCGATGTGTGATATCACGAAATTTTGGAAAGAACCTTCCTGTTTGTCCAAAAGATCTCCTATGTTCAAGCTTGCTGTACTTTTGCGAGGATGATGATTTTTAACGCGCACATCACGAACAAAAGATCTTAGAATGCATGTGAAATCATGCATGATCGTGATGTGCATTTCCCATGGGGTTCATCAACTTCCTTTCCACAGCTGGGGAAGGCTCAAGGTGAGCCAGCGGTGGGAGTGGCATAGCTTTTGCCATAGGCTACGAGCGTTGGACGCAAGGAGGTAAAACAGAAGTGTGCAGCGAGGACGCTGCGGGTTGGAATCCACGGTGACGCTGCCAATCTCATTTGAGAATATATACATATATATATATATATCATATATATAATATTTATAATAGATTTATTTGTATATTGCAATAGTAATGTTGTTATGATTGTTATTATTAGAACGGTGGTTGGACCCTAAACCTCCAGCTCTTCGCTTCCAACTACTCAGTTTCGGAGGGAATCTGGCTGGAATCAGCGAGACCAAATATCCAGATTCCGCATGATTCCGCAGCCAAGACACTGAAAGTCGTGGAAGTCACGTTCCTGACATCTCACGTGCATCGTTTCCTTGCACATCCATGGGTCTTCAACGAAACGCTTCAAGGTGTCGTAATCAGCGTCATGGTGCGCACCAATGCCCCCCATGTTCTTCACCATTCGCATGTCATAGTACAAGTCGGCATCATATCGAGCAACTTTGCAATATCGCAGCACACTGGCCTTACGGCTGCGTTTTTTTGTAGGAACATCTGTCGGCCTGACCTCCCAGGAGGTGAATAGCCACTATAGCCGGTAGCCCCTGGGATCCCCTGGGTAAGGTGTCATCATGATGTCATCATGTCATGAGTTCCTCCCATCCCCTTGCGCCAAGCGGCTCCGAACTGGCTTTGAAAGTTGGCACGCTGATCATCAACTAGTACAATGTTCCCCATAGACAGAGTCGCAAGGTCCTTGAAAGCCGCCTCGCTACCTCCAGGCGGCTGGACATCATGCTGGATGGTCCAGGGAAGTGTCCAGCTAAGTTGTAGATAGCGTGTCTTTGTAACTCCAGACCCAATGACAAGTTACACAGTTGCCGATTTCGCCCAGTATTGTCCCTGCCTATCTGAGGGAACCACGCTTCCGGGCTCTTGGTCACATGCGACAAAACGTCCTTAGTTTGCTGCACTCAGTTGGTCCCACACTTGTTCGTGAAATAGCTACAAAACTCAGCAGGCTGACTACAGAAGTACAGTCAGCAGTATCCAAAGTGAAACTTGCTCCAGGATGATCCAGGTATTTCAATCACATGAAAGAGCAATGAATGAGTTCGATTCACGGGCTGCTGTATCACCGGACATGCTAATTAGGGGATGCAGTATGGATTTCAAGGTGAATATCGTCAAATGATTTTCCAAGGGAAACAACACTCTGAATTTCGACCATACAGGGGTTAGGTATAAGAACAATCTTTCAAGGGTGACATAGGAGAACAGGCCGGAAAAGGTCAGCAAGTCCCAGCATCAGCTTTGTGATTTCGAACCTTGTCCGAGGGCGGATCAAATAACTTCCACTGCCCGCCTGCCAGAATAGCTTCTGTAGTTGGTTTTGGTCTTGGAAAAGATTAATGAAGCCACGTACTCTGTAAAAAACCAAGAAAACGCAAGAAAGATTGGTCTTCATCGCAGAGAGAGGGAGAGACTGCATTCTGAAAAATGTAGTTTTCTGTACATACGTGGTTGAGTAGTGGTCAACCATCAAACATGAAGTATGAGTCTCTTCGTGCAAAACTCATAAATTCGAACTCCCGTGCTACATCGCTTCTGCAAGCCCTCGAAAGTCGATGCAGTTTTGCTGGCTCAGCGCCACAAGAGTTTCCAAGACATCCAAATTTTCCAACAGCAGTGATCTTGAAATCAGCCATGTCCAGTTTTAGATCACAATATATCACAATCATTAATCATCAGGATAGCTATGCTGTTTCAGCTAATCAACTCCTCCTCCCGACAGTCACTCCATGGCCATGGCAGTCTGAGGGGGCCACTCTGGTCTTTGTACGCGCCGTTGGGCATGTACTGTCTCCATGGCATGGTCCACACGGCGCTGAAATATTTGTCCAGGCCCGCGATCTTCAGCATGTTGATCACTGCCTCGCGGGAAGGAGCTATCTATGCTATCTATGCGAAGATTCAGCGACTGGGAAAATATTCAGATGACAACCCTGGGAAACTGTGGTGTGTTTTGTCTTCAAACCATACAATGAGTTGTTGGCTTTTACATAACTAGGGTGATTCGTCGAGTGGTGAAAGCGTTCCTGATCGATTAGCTTTACAATATATGTCGCACAAGAAGTTTTGCGGTTTCAACCGGCAGAAGTTCCTAGATGGATGCCTGCCCTTGGCCCAGAATAGGCTTCCTTGGAACAGCTTGTATATTTCCGAATTACATCTCGTTAACAAGCGATGGATGTCCTCAGTCTCAGTAGCAATTATAACCATGGGTTTACAGTTTTACCAGTTACGTCCTTAGGAAGATGCACGTCTTTCCCGCAAAAGCCATGACCCTCCACTTCTACTGGCAAGACAGAGAAGTGAAACCTCAAGCGGCCTGTACTCCTTTACCATTGTTGGTGAGCACCGTCAGTGTTCTGTGCCGACCATCTTCACCATCTTTGATGGATGCAAGCATGTTCTGAAGTTTAAGGATCCTGCAGGAGCTCTGCCCCAGATTAGGGGAAGATTGGATACGAAGATTCGTATGATTGGTTGTTATGCCGCTATGCCAGATTTTGAATGGAAAGGGTTCTTGCTCAAATAAGCAGTCGACAGCGCTCCAAACTACACTTCCCTGCATTTGCAGGAGTGGTACACACACAGTTTCAGGCTGTTGCACCAAGTCCGTGGCAAACAAATCCTGCGAAACGGCTATGCACGCACATCCATCCGAACCTGAAACGCCTAACCAGCCAAATCTGGGAAGATCCAGCAACTCGATGTCCGTCCTCGATCCCTCTACCCACGGCGATTCGAAGTTGATCACTCTCGCGATGTCCTTCTCCTCAGTGCGGTGAAACTGATTGGAAACAGAATGCAAAGCATTGCACAGATTTGCACAGCAGGATGCAGGGCCCTTGAAGTGTTCTCCAACACCAAAGTGGTACGCTGGAAGGGTGGGTTTGGCTGACGCAACATGTGTATAGCTTGTTCAAAACACTGGCACACCTGTCCACACCTCAAAAATGCAGAGAACAGAATTGGCTGACCCGCAGTCTTCATAGACCCGGACTTAGGGTGTCAATCGTTTAAACTCAGCCGCTTGCCTGGTTTTTCTGTTGATTATCACCCTGTTTGAGGGCTCGTGCACGCTCTGTTGGAGACTAAAAAGGGACGTTCGAGCTGATGCTGATGCACCTCGTCGTCTGCATACTCACAGTTGCCAGTCATGAAGGTTGCCAGTGTGAGAGTCTCGTCAAAATCGAAGACCACTAACTTTACCGGGCAATCCTGCGATGCAGCAAAGTTCGAAGGTTCGTTCGGATCTTTCCGCGTGGTTGGGCACTAACACTACCTTGCTAGAGGAGACCAAGAGACATGTCTTAGTAGAGATGCTCAGTTCTACGAGGATAGCATATTCCGCGGCTGACAAGTGACTGTGTCAACAGAAAGTGCCATTATAATCATTATAATCATTATATAATTGGTTCCTTGACTGTCATTGCACCCTCGTCCGTCACAATCTTTCTGTCAAGGAATGTAAACCCAAGGCAGTTCTGCTGTAGTTTTCACATGTCTTGAAATGCTTTGAAACGTGTGAAATATGCTTAACATTGCTTAACCAATTGAACCAGGATGACTCAGGAAGCCCCCAAGCGATCACTCCTTACTCACCTCACTGGGAGTGATGCGCTCGGCACAGCGCAGGCGAAAAGTCGCTCGCAACGAGGCGCGCTCCATGGGTCTTGATCGACTGGGTGCCGCTGACACCAGCCGACGCGTAGAACTGGACCTTGGTTTCAGGCGACTTGTGGCAACTTGTCAGTGCTAAGAGATGCTCCAAATAATTAAAAGATATTAAAAGAACATAAAAGAACTAAGATGTAATCACATGTAATCACCCTATTGGTTTTGTTGACTGCTTTGGCTGCAAGTTGCCATGCTGAATAGTTCTGTAGAAACATGTGTTCGGATTTATCCAAATAGTTCTAGTCATTCTAGTCGAATTAGAATTACCACAGACAAAGAACTCGTCAATACCACTGCCGCAAATCCACCCGTGAAATGTCTCCTTAATGCTACTCGCCTGGCCCATGGCGGCAGGGCCAACTGGACGGAGCCGTGGGGCCCGCGAGGGCTAAGCCAAAGATCGCCAAAGATCGCCAAGGTTTCGTGGGGCCACCGTCAGCAACCGTCAGGACTGTCTTCTCTATGATTGTGATGATTATGTTGTGACTGTTAGGTGAAATTATGTAGCTATGTAGCTATGCATGTCAAGCACCTGTGCCTGCTGAAGATCTTAGATCTTAGAATCCTCAGAATAGTCGGGTGCCAAGCCCAAACCAACAAGGTCCAGCAGTGTCTCAGAGGCTCACTAGCCCGGGCACTTGATACTTGGATTACTTGGGCTGGCACAAGTAGTTTCAGGAATGTTTCAAAATCAGGGGACTCCATCTTGTTTTGAGTATCTTGGGTGATAAATGGCTGGTGATCCAAAATTTAGGGACCATCCCATGGCTATCGCATACCTTTAGGCTCCAAGTGAAAGCTGCCAGCATTGAGGGCGATGGCATGCTGCGCGAGGACATTCTTGTGAATTCCCTCACTGGGACCGCTGGGAGCCTTATCAGTCCACGGAGCTGTGATAAAAAACGACGTGGGATGTGCTGAGGCAGTCACTGGCCACTGGGTCAAAGGTGACAGTTGAGCCCTGTCCAACCAAACACGCGGCCTCGCGGCTCATTTCAATGATAGCACAATGAAAAAAATGTTGGTTAATGTATGTTAATGTTGGTTTCTGCCAATGTGATCTTGTGATTCTCCCACTTTTGTTTGCACCGTCATTGGGTTCACATGAAGTTGATGTCCTCCTTGCGTCCCATGAACACATGGAGTTTCCACCCCGGCCAGCGATTGTCATGCTCTGGCAGCTCAGGATTGGTCGACTCAGAGACCTCAGCATGTGGCAGAGGCGCATCGGTGTCGGCAGTGTCTACGTACGTTACGTTTTGTCAAGCGAAAAATACACCTAGACCATTTTGAGAATGGTGTATACCACTCATTTATATCCATAAATTGGTGTTTTTGGGAATGGTGTATTGTTGCCACATTATACAATTGATTCCACTTTGGTCTTTCTCTATATGTTTACGGATGTCAAGATGCGTCCACTCTCGAGTCATTGAACTAGGCAGGGTTTCTAAGTCTTCACCAAAGAATTCCAGGTTGCTCCTACAGTAACACCTCAGATGAAAGGGGAGAAACTGATTCGATAATATGTATCTATACATATATCTAATCATACATATTATATATCTATCTACATATATATATATATTATACCTATATATAAAGACCAGTTTCCGCCTCCTGTGGCTATGAAGCAACCCTGAATTCCTCCGCAAAGGCCTAAACAACAAAGCAAACCACACCATCTCCACAGCGGAAGCATTTCCTGAGGCTACTGGGACTAGGTGCAACTACAACCCACCGCGAGACAACGTGGAGATGAGGGCAAAGAGGGCACCACCTTCTTTCTGAAGAGGAGCCACGCAGCCCACAGCTCCAAAGTGAAACCTGCAACAGCATGCCCTTTCAACCCGAGTCTTACGCTGTGCCCAAAAGAAAGCCCACTGAATTCAGGACCCAGTTCAACGAGACTGACATTTCTTTTCTTGAGTCCTCGTCCACCGACCAAGAATTCCAGGACAAACACACACACACACAGAAAAAAAAAACTTCAAGATCTAGAGTTGTTCGCCATGGCACCGCCAAGGCAAGCTGCCGACCACATGGGAGAGAATTTGAGAATGCACACGATGATCAAGATCATTTGACAAGTCATGCAAATGAAGGTCACAAAGATTGCACAGGCCGTCAGAAAGCAGCCCAGCAGCCTCTGCGCAACTTGGTTGGACACCGCCTTCTCAGCCAAGCAGTTTGCCCAGAGCACCAAAGGACATGCGAGTACGAAGAAAAGGGGAGTTAAGACGATGTTGACGAATGAATTGCAGGCCACGTAGGCACCCACTGAAGGATATCCCCAATATGAGGCGGACAGCTGGCAATCACGGCCGTCACAGTCAAGCACGCAGACAGACCCAGACAGAAAGATGGGCAAATTTGCAGCAATGCACGATGTTAGAGCGATGTGTTCCTGACAAGGACGCAACACTGAGGGAAACAACAGTGAAACACACGGTCCAATGGTCACTCCGCACTTGCTGGATGGTCTAGATTCCTAAGACTACAGTACCAACATCCTTCGCATGTCCCTGGGGCTCCTCGTTTCCAACGGAGGCCTCAACGCTTTCACGTAGCGGGCCCCTGACATACGCATTGAATTGATCGATCACTTCTTCTGGGTGCGGATAGCTGGTGATGTGACGAATGCCTCGAATGGTCTCTGGTGACACCGGTGACATCAGAGGAGCATCTGCAAGATCATCCTGGCAACATTGGCAGAGAGGACGTTGAAATCCCGACAAGACCGGGGGGAAGTGCCCCCACCCCAAGCTTGCAACCCGACCCCCGACAAGCAAATTTGGAAAAACCTCGCTAAGCACGACAAATTTGTCCCATCTAACAGCTAGGCCTGCGCGAGCGCCCGCTCGTACGATCCCAGTTTGGGTTTGACCCGCACAATCCCAATTTAGCGTGTACGATAGTAGTTTGGCCCATGCGATCCCAGTTTGGCCCGTACGTACGAGGGGAAAATTGTCAAATCTGATGGAAAATTGCAAAATTTGATGGAGGTCTTTGCCAGATCTGATGGGAAATTGCCATCTGATGGGAAATGGCAAAATCTTATGGGAAATGGAAAGATTCGATGAGAAACGGCAAAATCTCATGGGAAAACGGCCACATTTGATGGAAAAGGGCCAAATCTGATGGGAAACGGCAAATTCTGATGGGATTTTTTTAAATCTGCTGGGAAATGGCAAAATCTGATGGGAAAACGGCCAAATCCGATGGAAAACGGCCAAATCTATGTCATTAGGGTCATTAGGGTCACAATAGAGAAATGTCTGATTAGAAACACAATGAAAAGGACAAAGCAAGTAAATATACTTTAAGCAGGCGTCTTGTTATTGTATTATCAAGAATGCTGTTGTGGAAGCAATTGTGCTGTTGTTGTACTGCATTTGCTTGTCGTGGTTTCACCGTCTGCTTAACATTGGCAACCCAAGAGACCGAAAGGACATTTTTTAAGGTCCAACAATGTGGCTATTCCTAGATGCGATGACACTCAATCTGCCATGGTGATAAATAAATCCCACATGATGAATGAATCCCGTATGTAATTGCTGATACATGACATAACATATGATAACATAACATATGTAAAGGTTAAAGGACCATCGTTGGAGAACTTTTTGCCCCTTCTTAAAGGAAATAAACCACCAACCAGCCTCTGCGCCAAAGGCTACATGTAAGGGAGGTTCTAAAGCTTCGTCGAAAAGGTCAAGGACCTGTTCCTGGATGATTTCGCGGTCACTCTCCACACTGCACTCTGCATTTCTTAGATCAAAGTTGTCCATTTGTTCAAGCATCAATTTGTGCAGGCGCAGCTTGTGAAAGCATATCCAGGAAAGAGGCAACATACCACAGAGTGCCACAGCAACTACCGAAGGGAGCATCGCGTTCCACATGGATACAGCCAGCGACATCCTTGAGTCCAAATCCAAAGGGATAGAATATGCTTGTCCATACTGAGCAAAACCTGTGCATGAAAAACGCATGGATAGCCAACAAACGGCTGCCAAACATCATTTCAATTTGGTTTGCCATCCCCAATCTGGATTTTTTCTTCTGAAATACCCAACTGAGTAACTGGTCTTTGGGGCATTTCCAACAAGTCAAAGCCGGAAGGTAAGAAAGAACAGCTGAGCAACAATAGATGCAGAGAAAAACAAAGCTTGACAGGGCCCACAAAGGCATCCAGGTTGGCACAAGTTGTATAGCGTGCGCGGTTGCAGAAACTTTGGCCCGGACTGCCAGTTCCTTGCTTGTGCCGTGGGGCAATAGTAGCACTGCCTCATAACGAACCACAAAAGATATGCGTTATTTACAAACGACCAATGTCGAGAATGACAACTATTGAAGAAGTGGAAAAACATACATCACGTCACGTCACGTCACGTTACGTCACGTCACGTCACGTCACGTCACATCAATATCTATCTGTCTGTCTGTCTGTCTGTCTGTCTGTCTGCCTGTCTGCCCCTGTCTGCCTGTCTGCCTGTCTGCCTGTCTGGCTGTCTGCCTGTCTGCCTGTCTGCCTGTCTGCCTGTCTGCCTGTCTGCCTGTCTGCCTGTCTGCCTGCCTGCCTGTCTGTCTGTCTGTCTGTCTCTCTCTCTCTCTCTCTTCCTCTATCTATCTATCTACCTACCTACCTAGCTATCTAATCTAATCTAATCTAATCTATCTATCTATCTATACGTACAAGCATGAAGACTGGGGGTTATCATTCTTGATTGGGAGTAGAAGCCATAATATTATTTTCAGGATCTGTAAGCGGATATTGTGAAACTTTAATGGAACATTCAAAAACTACAATGGGAATGTTCAGAAACTAAAAGAAACGTAGGCAGGCAATGTGTGCGTGTGTGTCATGTGTGAAGTATCATGATGTATATAATATTATGTATACATATATATATATATTTCTTGCATAAAAAGTAGATGTCGCTTTCCCCAGGCGGTTGTCCCAGGCATTCCTAGGACCATCACCTCGGCCACAATTGTGGTTTCCACCCTGTCGACTTGTCGACTGTAAAAACCAAGCTGCGTAATTGCACCATAAGCGTTGAAAGTAGGTGTCATCCTAGGATTTGCTCAAGGGACCCATCAAATAGAAATAAGTAAAAACAGTAAAGTAAAAAACTGTACAATAATGACAAGAACCAGAAATAGAGGGAAACAAAAACTGAGAATAGCAAAAACAAGAAGAAGAAACAAATACATACGTAGTTATACACATCTCTATATTATAATATATATATATATATATATGCATAACCCATGAATGCCCCATGTCTGGTAGGCTTCCCTCACTAGAACCAATTCATCGATTCAGCCCAGGAAACCCAAAGTGCCAGCATCTGATTGGATTGAGCTACAAAGGCGGGAATGGCTCCCAGCGTATGTGATTTCATCTCCGAATTGGTCTGGTCGACACAGAGTTGGTCTAGCCAAAAGGTTCGTGAATCCCATAGGTGCCCAAAGAGGTAGGTTGCAAAGAACACCTGGTGACCATCCCAAAACCGTGCTTGTTGGCTGGTAATCAGGAACATCCTATATTCATGGTTGAAAAGTGTTGAAAAAAGAAATATGAACGAAACGGCCAACCAGACACTGCCACTGGCAAGCCGTACACGAGACTGAACCGCAAGGCTGGAGGTCGTTGTCGCACATCTTCTATGCTACCCGCTTCAAGAAGTAAGATCACCACTGCCAGGCCCCAAGTCACAACCGAGGAGGTAATCGACAAGTTCAGATTCAAACAATGGCACAGAGTAAGACGCTTAATCCAGGAGGGGCATTGCCAAGAATGACTAACGAAGAAATCAACGTGCGAAACCTTCGAGAGAGAATCGCCGTTGAAGTTGCGATGGCTACCTGGTGGCTGCACGTGCTGCAATCCACGAAAACAGTGGGTCAAAGATTTCTACCATTGTTGGAATCGCTTCCTGATTCCACCCAACTTTGAACTTGCGCCTAGCTACGTACGGTCATGGGACTGGAACAGCTGCGAAACCAAATGCTGCTTCAATCAAGCATTCTATCAGTTCTATATGCTTGAGTGATAGAAGTTTGGAGGGAAATTCCAAAAGGGATGAAAAAAGAAAAACTGAACGGCCTTTGGATGGAATTTGGGAAGCAGCTTTGGCCAGCAACTGGAAAAGTTAAACAAATTCTTCCCGACGATGGCAAGTCAAGATTCAAGACTTGGTTGGACATGCGCATGATGACATTGTAAAACATGTAAAAAACAGATACTTGTGGAAACATGCCACCTCTTTCTTTGATGTAGCCAACAAGAACGATCAAATACGCTGAGACAATCGGCCAACATCTTTCAAGGAGATCAAAGAATAATGTCGAAGTAGGATCAAAAAAACATAAAATCATATTAGCAACTTTTTCGCTGCAACTTTGGAATACTTTGTAGTCCACGGTTTACACGGCCCAAATGGTGTCTACATCCGAAACCACTTCGTAAAGTCCATCTCCAATCCAGGATTTTGTGGATAAGAAAATTCTGTTCACCCCTTCTCAACAAAATGGACCTTTGTTGGATGCGAAAAATTGGACATATCTCAACAAAAAATCATCAGGATTGATCCCAAAAATGAATGTCGTGGATAGAAATTTAGAAGTTCCTCCAAGATCGTGGTCCTAGATCTTCTTGCTGACCTTTCAGGGGTTCTAACTAAGCGGTAGTCACTACATACCACCTTTTTGAAGATCTATGAAAATGGTCAACCAGCTGCCCCTGGAGTTGCGCCCTGAAACAGTTCAAGGTGAAGAGATCCTTTGCAGCTGCAGCTCTGAATAGCCCGTGCTGCTCTGCAAACTTCGTTTTCTGGCGAATAACTTCCATCACAGAACCGCAGTGACCGCAGTTGAGTTGTGGCCCAGGGCTTAGTGGCTTTCGGTGTTGAAACCATTGGATCAAGTATCTGTCAGACCCCTCAAGTTGGAATATGTTGTACTGCACAAAAAATTGTACTTTCTGGTGCGACAAGGAAGCCTTGTAACCTTGGTATGCGTCTGAGAATATGTCAATAAGCGTAGATCAAAACGTTTGGAGTCTCTGCCTAAAGATTGCTCTCTAGGATAGCGGCGACCTTTTTCAGATATGCCATGCTTTTTCCAAGCAGTCCGGCTTTGTGTGGAGCTGGAGAATGGCAGCGTGATGATCTCATCAAGCCGACTTGGACTCACCAATGTGTTTCAGCAGTTAGCTGGAATCTGCTGCACAGGCTGTGCTGAATCAGCTGAGTCACTGGCTGTTGCTGCTATACCTGATGCCTCATCAGACATATCTTGCTCCTAGCAGGGCCAGCACACGTCAAGCACTGCTTCTTTCCGCAAAGCAGTTGCATTTAAATACCAGGCGTTCGAAACCCTGATTCTGGTTGAGTCCTGGAATCTAGTTTGGGGTCCTTTGTGAGCAGTCAATATGATCGGGGATAGGATTATATGGATAATATTGGATCATCATTGTGTACTCATGACATGACTAATGAAGTGTTTGCAACTCAAGACCATCTCTCGGCGGCGCTGATATAGGTTCCGCTCTCGGGCGGCCCCACACTTTGGCACTTGCAATACAAGGAATGACCCAAACCAGTTTGAAAGTCCTGTCTCATATATCAACTATATATGATATGATTAATATTAGTTAATCTGCGATTAATGATGTAAAAACAAACTACATCTGCAACTGCGCGCCTCAACAGGTTCACCTTGAAGGCTTCGAGGCCCACGCAGCTCAGATTCCCAGGCCTCTGAAACTGGCAAGAAATAGATAGTTTGACCAGTGAGCCATATATTTCACCCAAGAATCAATAAATCCCCTAGCATTCAACAAAGTTCAACAAAGTTCAACCATTCTTTGGAACCATTGGAACCATTGGAACCATTCTTTTCCTGGACTCCACTGGATTCTCTCGGCCTCAGGGTGCTCGTCTTTCAGTTCAGCTGCCAAGGCCAGAATACCTGTCCAGCTTTGGCGGACCTCGTGACTTCAAAGTTTGAAAGTCTACAAATTGAAACTGTGATTTTTCCAGTCCCAGTGAGTTGTTCTCACATTTTTGGGCACCATGATGCCTTGACCCCATTTTCCCGCCCTGAGAAAATGAAAAATGGCTTCGCACCCATCAAGAATATCATTCCACCATATTCCACCTAAACTCATCCGTCTGCCTTTGAGCGTCTTGTTGGAACGGTTGCCCTCAGGATGGAAGCTGATGCTGGAAGCATTGCTAAAATCCACCTGGCAACCGATGAAACAAGACAAGCTTCTTGTTTCCAAGTGCTTGAAAGCTTGAAAAGTTCACAACAGTTATATATACATATATCATATATATACACACATTTCAGTATACATTATATGTTGTATTGTATGTATGTATATGTATATGTATATATAATATTCCTCTTTGAGTGGTAAAATGCTGCTCCCTCCATAGACCCGCCTCCCCTTCCAATGGCACTGCTGGAAGAGCTGCAGCTTCAACAGTTTCATCAGAGAAGCCCAGGGATGATGGGTCCAGCTGTGACATCGCCTGGCAATGGAAATGGTAAGCATTTTATGGGAATAGGAGTGGGATATTTATGGATTTTTAAGGGATACTTAGGGGATATTCATATGAAGCGGGCTTGATCAAAAATGGGAGACCTTTCAAATCCAATTGGTTTTGCGGAGTTTTGCACGATTTTCTATCAATACATGTATGTATGTATATAATATATGTACATAATAAATATATATATATATGTATGTATATACAACTATGTATCAATATATCAGTATATATATATAGATATAGATACAGTACACAATATATTCAGGGATATCCTGGATCCTTGCTTTTCTCAATCTACCCACTGCTATGAACAGCCTACCCACCTCCAAGGTGCGGCAGACACATTGGTGCCCGCAAAGCTGCGAGCCAGCCATGTCGGGAATGTTTCGAAGGCCAAAAGATCGAATGTCATACAAAAATATACAAAATATCAAAAGGCAACTGCTTGAGATCGAGGTGTTCAGAATCGACATCCTTAGACTAACGCCCTTTGTTGACGAACTCCTCCCAGCAAAGCATAGCAAAGCTCCACTTTTGACAATCTCTGATTGTCTCCCATGTCCGCCAGACTGTCTCACTCAGCTGGCTGACCATTGATCTTTTGCGTGTCGGGCCGCTGACACAAAAACATAGACAGATCGGCTCTTAAGTCGTGACAATCTGTGCACACATCCTGTTCCAGGAGTGTGTCAAGCATCCCTCATAAGGGCGACGTTTTACGTCCAGACGCCACCTTAAGTTGGCGAAATACAGAATGGTACTGAAAGAGCCAGAGTAAGTACATGAATGGAATCACCAGCATTTTGTAGTCAAAATGGTTGGTTGGTGAAAAAAGTTCTTTGAGAGTCTTGAACTGCAGAGGATGTAATCTGGGGCTCAACTCGGGCAACTAATGGTGGTACCCTTGGTGCCTTGCCTATGGTATCCTATCGTTTCTGGCAAATTCCCTCACTTGCCCGCTGCAAGCGCAAAGGGACTGCAGCCGTTGAGGTTGTAAAACCTGGGTTCGCCGGTGAAAAAGAATCTCGTGTAAACAAACTCTGCAGCTGAAGTGATGACAAAATGAGCCAATGTGGAAAACGTCAGCACCTCCCACAGTACACAATTTTAGGAGATATCCACCTCAAAGATCTTCAAAGCAAGCTCGAGAAATATCGTATTATTGGGGGCCAGAAACTGCCAGACAAGCCAAGGTTCCGGGTTATAAATCCTGGGGCCCGTCCCAGCTACACCCACCAGCTTGATGACAAGAGGCGCTTCCGCATAGCGAGTCACATCTGAGCTGCTTTTTGGCCTCGAGAATGTCTCCACACCCAAGCTGCTACTGAAACAAATGGGGAGGTTCCGATGTTCCTCAAATCTGTGCTAGAAAAGAACTGATACCTGGTTTACAACTCGTAACCCAGGCAGATGGCTTGATGAGAGAAACTCTAGGAATGGGATGAGAAGAGCCTCTTGTCGCAAGTTGTGAGCCCATTCCTCACCCGCGCTGCCTCCGCCACCTGGTGCTGTTCAGCTTCTTGAGTTCAGGGAGTGGCTCCTGCCGCATGACATCCAAGCCGAGTGGAAAATGGGTCGAAAAATAGGAGAACCGCAAAGCCATTGATTTCCCTAGAACAAATCAATGTTGGAAGTTTACAGAAGAGACCCAGATTTTGAACCCTACACCCTGCGTGAGATCTGGAATTCTTGGGCAAAGTTTTGGAACAAATGATTTGTTTCACATGGCAAAGTTAATTTGACCACTTTAGGTTTTTCCTCAAAAGTCTCTCTGGACTTGAGACAATTGAAAGCGTGCAAACATGCCGTCAGATTTCAAGCCCCACTTACGTACCATGCTTCCAACCGATTCCAACCTTCAACTGTACCATCCCTTTGCCTCCAGGAACAGCAGGCCCATCCCAGGTCCAGCCAGGCTCCTCTTTAGGCATCACAGGAGCTGAAAGAGTGCGTTTCAGAACCAAATCCTCAGCATGCCATGCCAAGTTGCCGCGCCGTGGTGGAGAACGTTTCCAGAGAATCCGCAAACACAGATGGATACCAGCATTTCAAGACAAATCGGACTTGCAAGACACAGAAACAGCTGGAGTTCCAAACGCTTCGCAGAAATGTCTGAAATTGTGATCTTCAAAGTTCACCAAAGTCATAACATGTCATAACTATCGGGGAGTCCTCACTCACAGTATGTGCATCCTGTGTAAAGGTCAAGAGGACTTCAGAAACATAGTCGGTCCGATGAATGTCGCAAATGTTGACAGTTTCAAACAACATTTCTAAAACTATTGGAAAACCATTAAAAAAAAAACATAGGAAAGCCATTTTAAAAAAAACATGGAAAAACCATGGGAAAGTACTCTTTCTTTGACATGGAGCAGCTTTTGATGCCCGGTTCAGAATGCGAGGCAACCTTGGCATCGCCATGCCCAGTTCGCTCAGGCATTGACGTTCGCGGGGGTTGTCACCTCAACTTCTTTGGCCCGTGGATTCTCACGGGGCAGCGCTTTCAATTAAGTCTGGGTCGTAGTGGGCTAGAGACTTCCAAAAAAAATCAAACATAATCCCAGGATGCAAATGCAGCATGCCAATGCTTCTGGCATGGGCAGCTTCAGAAAGCCAACTTGAGGCAGGCACTGAAAGCTGCGAGTAGGGTTGAGTCCTTCCCGTCAAGTCACCATGAAAGCCATTGATGGTCCATGCACTGTGCCTTTTGCATATCTTTTGCACAGGGAGCGCATGGAAAACTGAGGAAAAATGTCCCATCTGCGACACAGAGCAGTTCCCCAGCTCCTGGCTCTCAAGGTACAATACAAACTGCCCGGCAATGGACCTGGGCCAACGCAGGCTCTACGGTCCTCGGTTCATCTGGGGGTCACCCTTTTAGTGTTCCTGGCCATGCCCCAATTCACTTCAGCATTGGCTCTGTCCCGTCGGCCCTTTACCGTTCAACGCAGACTGCATGAAATGTGCACACACAGGGGCACATGTTTTGCGGATCTCTGTGTGTTTATTATGCATAGAGCATACGCATACTATGTGTATCATTGTGTATCTATATATATATTATATACATACTTTTTTCTAAAATATGCGTGCGCAAGAAAACACTCTGCACATACACGTGTTGACGGACTTCTCTTTTCCGCATGCAAACCGAAATGGAATTTCCTCCCAAGCAGGGCCTGTGGGCCTTTGGCCACGACGATGCGCTTTGGGATAAACAAACAATTTGGTTTCTCCACAGGTCGCAGTCGCAGTCGTCCAAGTGTTCCACAGAATCGACTGCTTTCACTCTTCCTCACCTTGTGGAAACACACATTGTCGGGATTGCGAAACGCACTGATTCCTTCAAACAGTGTCGGACATGAGCAGTTTGAAGACCTGGGATTATCAGGTTTCTCAGCCGCGGGAGGCCCTAAAATTATGTCCTTCGACGAGAAAGGGGATCAAGGTCCTGGATTTGAGGTATCCAATTTGGAACGGAAAACGGTGGTGTCGCATCACCCAAGTGGCAACATCAGAGAAGGTTCTAGGTGTCCGTCACTGCTTTCCGCAACTACTTCAGCTGCGTCTTTCAATGACCTTTCGAGCCTGTTCAAAGAAGACCTCAGGAAGGGAGGAAAAATCAGGCCCGAAATCCCCAAATAGTGAGATATATATCACTTATAGTGAATTTCAGGCTTTGGATGTTTAATATAGTTTAATATAGTTTAATATATCTCAGGCTTGTTTGAACTTCCACTGCGAAGTTCTATTCCCTTCAAGCTCGCCGTGACCAATATCGAGATAGACTACTACCAAATCCATCCAAATCCAATGAACAAATCACACACAATGTGCAAAGAGTCAAAAAGAGAAACAAATCAAGTCAAGCCATGAAAAAAGTTGGAACAAGCTGCGAAAATGAAAGTTGTTTGCGGACCCAAGCGTACGTAGTTGGCCAACCAACCCTGCACAAACCACGCAATTTCAGCACGCTGGAGTATGCAGGATGAGGAAACCACATGCATTCAAACAGACTGGAAAACATGTGGGTCTCAAAGGTTCAAGGACAGCGTTTTACTTGGGATTCTTTGAAGAGAACGTATCTTATTGAATCACTCTCAATTCACTACATATTGTTCTTCTATTATTACACATGCAGTATTACTTTTTGTTCCCGGGTTGGGCTAATTTTGATGGTAGTATCCTTCCAAGTGCATGTAGAACACATGAATCAAGTTCTAGACTGGACTCCAAATCTGGGCGGATCACCAAGCCAGAAATAGATCAGAGCAATGTCCCGACAACGAGGGACGTATCCTTACTTTTCCTAAAGGAACAGGGTTATTCTCCAACTCCATGTTTGTTTTTTTGAGTAACGAAATGCGAAACGGCCTCAAAGTCCATTCCCCGAGGTGGATGAGGCAACATGCCCGCTATCAATGGTGCATTTTGATGTGAAGTGTTTCAGGTGGCCCCCCTCTGCACCACCTTGAAGAAAGCAAAGAGACCATGTGCTCTCCTCAGGCCCGGTGAAGAAGGTAGATATTTGATATTTAAGGCACTCAATGAATGAGAAGAGCAAACGTGTGCGAGTGAGTCTTGCACACGCATTCAAGATCATTCAAGAATTGCTAATGAAATAGGCACGCCACTACTTCAAATCCAGAAAAGCTTTCCCAAATGTGTTGTCCATTTGGGCCTTTACAATCAGCTTTTTTGGTGGGAAAAGCTGCCTGTCTCCCCGGGAAGGTCCCTGTCACCCTGTCATCCCAAGTTTCAGCATGGCCGCGATGTCGGACTGGCCAGCACTCATGGCCTCAGGCTCCACAGGCTCCGCAGACAGGCCACCGTACTGCAAACTAGCGAAAAATCGTAGACTAGACATGACTAGACTAGACATCTGCCCGGACGACTTATGAAATTTAAGATTTATGAATATTTATGCGCTCGTTTCATCTTGTTTCCGTGTCCAAAAACTCTCACTGGGAGACCATCCCTGTCCCTTCCATCTCCATCTCAGCGCCTTTGTCTTCAAGACATCAACAGGTGCAGTGACCTTAGCGGATAGCTGTTGAGGCCCCGGCCCTTTGGTGCTGGGCTTGATGAGTGGAACCAACAGAGTCAAACTACTGGGTAGCACCATCTTAACCAGCAAGATATCACAAGCATAGTAGGTTTTATCTCCTGAAATGAGCCATGTTCAGCCATTGCAACAGGATAGCGGGTACCAATCATGGAGTCAAATCATTAGACTCTGACGGTCACATCCAACGGAATTTGATTGGCAAGCAACAGTCGTGGTCACCAGCCCCGCCATCAAGCTTGCTGTAATATGTAGAGCACCTCCTGCAGTCCGCAGGACAAGTCTCAACCAAAGGAAGATCACTCTTCTTTTCAGCGCATTTTCTCTGTAGGATGCACTCCATCGTTTTAATGTTCTCAGCCAAACGAAAGTCTGTGGACCTTTCTGCACTGCTGTGCCTCCTGGCCCAAACAACATCACTCTGTGCCGCCATTCCAAGAGCCCAAGGACCCACCAATCATCCAGTTTGGCAGTCCTTCAGGAATTCCGAAGCATCTTTTGAGTGCAGTCTTGGCATGTGCCTTACATACCCGTCTGACCTCTCACATGGCGTCCTAGATTCTGGGAGAAAACTACTGGGAAAGAACTACTCAAGAAAATTACTCAATCACCAAGGCTCCAAACCATTAAAGTAGACAAAATTCTGAGCAACCACATGCTTTCGGTGTTTCCCTTCAAAAATTCGGGCCACAACCTCCTTTCCATCTCCCAGGTCTTGCCGGTGCCATCGTGCCATCCCCGCTGACAAGTGGCATAAGGCACCACCTGGCTCACAGTGAGGAGGGAAGATCGAGTCGCAGCCCAACCAAAGCCACTGGCCAAAACCGGCAATCCTGGCAGTGTGGCACGGCTGATTGCACTGAGAAAACTTCCTAGTCCAAGATAGAGATTATGCAATGATTATGCAATGATTATGCAATGATTATGCAATATATATATATATATAAATATGAAACCAATTGTTTAATATAAGTGAACATTTCGGTTTGGAATGGCTTGGATGTTGCCCTCCAAGTTGGCTGGGAAGCTCCGCCCATTATGCCCATTCTCCTAAGTTCAGCCACCGCGGTCACCGCGTCGGCCAGTCCTTCACTCTGCACCATTCGGCGCAGCAGTTGCAGTTCACCGGTCGCCGCCAGCTGTGGCTCCGCTTGCAGCCGCACCTTCAAGACCTGGCGACTTCACTTTCACTCTTGGACTTGGACCCCTCTTTTCAAGAAATCTTCTCCTTTTCACTTCCACTGCAACTTCCAGAACCAGCCTGTATTATCTACCCCCTCTTCCAACTCTTGGGCCTCAAAAGGGTTGCCCACCACGGTGGCCAGCACGCCCGCGATCACTGCGCCACCAGACCTCCCAGCCACTTCCTGCAACGGCTCGCACAAACCAATCCTCACTGTGCCATAGGTGGCTGCTCGCATGGAGGCAGCTTGAAGCCCGCTGAAGAGCGCACCTGGCAACAGGCTTTTGGGAGGTGCTGGGCCGCTGCTGGGCCGCTGCTGGGCTGCTTGCTTTAGGGATTCATCAAACACTCTGAAGTCTCAATGTGGTCACTTGCAAGATCTTGAAAATTCTGAAGACATTCAATGCGCATAATTTGGAATCTACCTACCACAAAAATCCACTCAGCGGCCTGTGCCCGCACGCCGCTGGAACTTCTGCCAGAAGCTGACAAAACGCGGGAGACCTGAGTCGTGTTTCAATTTGCCGCAATGGAGGTTGGCGCATCGGGCATCCTCATGGAAGTAAGACCAGGGTTTCTCTGGTTCGAACAAAAACACAGCACCGCACAAAGTCACCATAGTGCCGCCAGTTCACTGAAGGAGTCGGCTTTGGCACAACTCTTCTCTGCCATCTGCAACTGTACTTTCACCACATCAATGGGGTGAGTAAATACAGTGGCGCCCACCACCGCCGCACCGCTGGCGAGCAAGTTCTCAGTCAAGTTCAGCTTCCTGCCAACTGAATATAAAGATCATTAAAGGATACAGAACGGAAGCAACCTGACCATGCTTTCCTTGACATGGGACAAGGTTCATACGCTTCTCATTTACTGGAATTAGGGGCAGATGGTGGCAAAATATGGCAAAATGATATCCACAGGAGTTCTGCACAAGGGTGCAGGGTGCAGTCTTTCTTCGGTCCTTCGGGAGTCGCTGGCCATTTGGAAAATGTGTACGCTTTAAGACACGCTTCTCACAGTTATGCTGCTAGCAGTTTCTGTGCAGTTCCCCCTTCACCATCTTTTATCCTTTGGTAGCCTTATCCTATTGCGGCTGCTGTCGGGATCTGTACCATCTAGAGGAAAACCCTTCTGCAGTCGACCTTTGGCCAAGAGTGGTGTTTGCTCACAGACTTACTGTATTTGACCACGTGGACATCCACTGACCCAGCTGAAAGCGTGTAGAGTTGTTGATATTGATATGAAGCTTGATCCAAGCAAAGGCGGAGACAGGGACGTGTCAAGAACAGGCTCTTTACAAAATCACTAGTGAGGTAAACCCAATAACAAACCATCCCCAGTTAATTGGGGTTAATTACTGGGTATGTTTTTTTCCCACTTGAAAAGGATGCTGTCACTGAAGCCGCGATCCAAGATCCCCTTGAAATGCGCGGTCAGAAGCCAGGGCTCCTTTGGCCAAACAACCAAACGAGCCGAAACGCAAAGTACACGGCAAGGCAAGTGCCAAAACCGAGCCACGAAGAAGCATCGCACTGATTTACCACAAATGAACCCAAAATCTACAACTTTGAGCGAAGCCACAAAATAAGCTGCAGACTTTCAGTCCATTTTAAGTCCTTTGGCGCACAACGATTCTGGGCATCCGTACTGAGACCAGGGAGGCTACCACTCCGTCCTGTCAGCATGGACTTACAGTGCACACATCACTAGGGTAGGCAATCATGCTGCGAAACCATTCGTGGTCTGCAACACATTGCCAAACTGTTGGTATCTGTTGGTTGTTGATGGTCATTGTATTTTGTTCCTGCGAGCCCCCAACCGGGGGAAAAACCCAAGGCAACTAAAGGCCGCCTTTTCTTGAGCCATCCAAAAGGTTGCGTGTCATATCTTGTGCAGGGGCCATGCCAGTGAGACGACTGAAGCATGAAAAAAACCCTGATGTATTGGGACACTTCTTGATTTGTGCGTGTCCATCCAAGTTGAAAATGCCACCACACTCCCCTATGTTGCGACACAGCAACATGTCGGTGGCAGCCCAAAAGGCAAAACTTCAGGAGCTATGGCCCGGCTCTCACATGTCTTCCTCTTCATTCTCCGGGGTGTCAGCCGGATGCCAGCTCTCGTCGGTAACCACGGAGTACTCATCATCACTTGGTTCTTCTGACTCCACTGCTTCTTCCTGGAAGCTTTCTTCTTCCAGCCCTTCCAGCGGGGAATCCACCCTCCTCTCAGCGCAGTATGGCGCGCTCAAGGTATGCACCACCAGCTCTGGCCTGTGGGCCCACGACTTCGCCACTGATCCTCTCGGGGTGGCTACTCCAGGGTCTCCACTAGCCGTCCAAGCACCCGGAATGGAGGTAGATCCCAGGCTCTAAGAGGATGGCCCTCCAGGGTTTTCGGAAATCCTTGCAGCCCGAAGTGAAGCCAAAAGCGGATTGCCTCCATCTCGCGACTGCTCCGGGCTTCCCACAGGGATGACTCCCACTGGACCTGCCCCCATTGTGGTTCGCCCTGCTGCGGTCACCTCTCCGTGGCTGCTTGAAGGTGGAGCACCCTTCCCAAAGACTGCACGTCCACGTTCTCCCGGACCAGGTCGTCCACGAGGAGGATCAGCTGCAGGTCCAACTGGTGCTTGGTACCCACCCATCTTGGCCGTAGGTGCTCGGTACCCATCCCCTCTTGGAGTCGGCGGAACACCAGCAGGAGGTGGGTGAGCACTGGAAACTCCTCCTTGCTGAACAGGAGGAGGAAGAGGCTCATCATCGAAGCCCCAGGCCAGAGCTGTTGCCACCAGCTTGGTTTCCCTCCCGAATCCTGAAGAAGGTGAACCCCTTCCACTGTTCAACTCCTGGGATAGGTTGGCTTCCAAAGCCCCAGGCATCTCGGTGAATCACCCTGGTCCAAGGTCGCCCGTTTGGGCAATGCCAGATCACGGTGGTCCTCTCCGGCTCCAGGTCCTCACATCTCACCGGTGTTGTGGTGTGGACCGGGTGATAGAGCCTGGATCTGAGTCCACCATGAACCCGGACCCACCATCCTCCAGGAAGATTGCGCCAACGGTCGTTGCTCCCCGTCGGCATCCCTTGGAACTCTGCACCATTCCACGGACCATCCATCGGTCCACCAGCCATGGCTTGACCCCGAAAGGCACAAAGGCGAGGAACGGTCAGGGAGCCTGTGAGGCTACAGTCGTGAGTAGATTCAGTAGGGTTAGTAGGGCCTGGTTCGTTTTCCCTAGGCCTCTTTTCTTGTTCTTGTGCTGGTCTTGGTTCCTTCTTTTCTTCAACTGGTTTAGCCATAGATGCCAGCCCTTCCATGCAACACATCCATGCTGTCAAGGCTGCAGCTCCAGCCGTTTTCACAAGACGATTCGCCCCATGTTGAAGCATCAAACCTCCTAAGGCTACCACCGCCTCTGTTAGGCGGCACAAACGGGATGATTCAGTCGGCTGCACAAACCTAACTGGGCCTACAGTGCTACGAAAGACTTCCCAGCTCGCCATCAGCACCACAGGCTTCGTGAGGAGGTCTGCTGCAAGCTCCGAGCCAGGGATGTGCTGAACCTGCCATTCTCGTGCTGCCAGTCGCTCCCTCAAGACGAAGCTTCTCAGTCTCAAATGCCTGGTTCTCCAAGGGCCATCAGGGGCCAAGAGAAGCTGGATCCCCGGCAGGTTGTCACCTCGGATCTCAAATTGGCCACCCTCCACCAGGTCGTTGTGCTCCAGCACGTTGAGGATCACCTGCAACGACTCACCCATCGTCAGCGCATCCACGTAGCCGATCAACTCAGCTTCTGTGCTGCTGAGTGCAGCAAACGGCTGCCTTCGGCTTTCCCATTGGACCAGGGCGTTGCCCCACAGCGCCAAAATTCCTTGGCACCCTCGAAGTCCTTGCGGAGCATGAGATGCATCGGAAAGGAGTGTCACCTTCCTCAAGTCACCATTCGGCTGCCCTTGATCATCCAGGCAACTGCCATAGGAAAGCACCATGTCCACGGTCTCCTGCAAATAGCCCAGAACATGCCGACCCAATTCTTTGACTCTCCTTGGACATCTCGTGACCCATCCGCTCAGCGTGGAAATTGCAAATGCATCCCCCTGCACATTTACCCCCCCGACCCAAGGCAACCATTTTGTAAGGGACCCAGGAGTTAACCTTACAAACATCCATGGTTAGGGGTTTACAAAATGGGCTGGGCACCAGGCTTGGTGTGATTCCCCAGCAAACACCGGTGAACCCCCGAAAAATCAAAAATTGGCTCCTTACAAAATGGTTGCCCCAAGTTAATTTCCAGGCCCCAAACCCAATCATCTTATAAGCTTGTGTCTTAAAACATGGTTTGTTTGGAAACATGTCTTACTTGTACAAGTCCAACTTTCCCCAGGGAATCCCGCAATTTTTTTTCCCAGTCCCCAAAGTTTGGAAAAATCCCAGAAAGTTTGATATCACCTTTTCTGGTTGGTTGACTTAGTGGTGTCTTGCCGGTTCTTCACACATCAATGGTGGAACCCAAAAAAAATTAGAGAAGAAACCCTGGTTCCTGGACATGGCCAAGATTTCAATACCCTTTTTTGCACTGCCTGAAATGAACCCAAAATTGCGTTATGAAATGATTGGCCCCGAGTTCATTTTGTAAAGAAAGTTGGCTCTTACAAAATGATTCGCCCAGCAAAAAACACGTTTTTTCCAAAATGGCATGGTTGACCAGAAAAATGTCCTTACAAAATGCATCCTTTTGTTAGAAAAATGCCCCTGGAATGGAACATGGGTCAAGCCATTTCATAGTGGAAATGCACACAGTGATGCAAATGCAAGGTCTGGTCTCGTTCTGCCACTCAGCCAGAGGAGCTCACCCAATAGTTGCTGGCACTGCTTCACCGCATCAGGATCCGGGCTCTCCTCCTCTTCCGGGACCAAGTCGATCTTCGGCAAAGGGACCTGTCGACCAGGAACTGGACCGTGGCGCTCCAAAAGCTCCCGTGCAAAGTCTGGCTGACCCAGCAAGAGGGTATCTCCTTGCCACCTCAACTGCATTCCACAAAACTTCAACCACTGGGTATCACAAACCCATTCCACTTCAGAGCAAGTCCACTCCTCGCGAACCCTGGCCAAAGTGGCTTCAACGACTCCCCTGGGCCCAGCGCACAAGACATCGTCCACATAGACAATGAGGAAGCCGAGTGGGTTGGCGTAGGCATCGTCGTTGAGGTTTGGAGTGGGATACTGCTCCTTGGGCACTCCCATGATCGACCAAATGTTGGGCTCCGGCGATCTGGCCAGGTGACATCTGTGGGTCTGTGTCTCCCACCTGAAGGTTCCCAGACGCCGATCCCTAAAAGTGGCCCAATCAGCTGGTGATGTATCCAAGCCATACATGGCTCCATCACAGATCCATCCTTCGTCCAAGGCCACTAGTCCTGTCGAAGTCAACAATCTCGGCGGCTCCACAACCAATAACTGCCTCCTCGATTGTGACCAAGAGAAAAGCCCCACGCACATCTGTGGATGCTAAGGTCCATCCTTCTCCAGCTGATTTGCGTAGGACGCACCTCAACGCCGTTGCGTCCACCCCACCTGCATATAGGTCGGCAGCGGTGGTCGGGCTACTGCCTCCACCTCGATCACCTCCTGAGCCATGCCCTCGACCTCCAGGAACTTGGGAAGGTAGAGGAGGGACTCCATGAAGACCTTCACGAACTTGATCTCCGTCATCCGTAGGCTGAGACGCCTTCACATGTCCAGCAGGATGCACCATGTTGCCGCAGATGACGATTCTGGCCTTCCTCTTCCCAGATGGGGACTTGATGGTTGGGACAACCTTCGCAGGGGCCACCTCCATCCTGTCGTAGCCCGGCTCACAGTCCAACTGCTCCAACTTCACCCTTCTGATAGTTCCCGAAACTCACCAAGGCTTCCAATTCCGCCTGCAAAGGCTCCTTCCACAAAGCAATGTCCCTCTTGACCTCCGCTAGAGAGACCGT